GAGGAGCAGAGAGGGGCTGAGGGGTTGCCCAGTTCCCATAGCTGCCCTCTCCTGCAGTCCCTGCTGCTGGGTTCAGCGAGATGCCGGTGTATCCTTCTGTGTTAACAAGCATCCATGCTCAAGCTCCTGTGAGTGGGTTCTGTCTTTTGCAGCCACCCAGCCTCCAGATAGCGCTTTTAAGAATGCAAATCAGATCACAGTGCTCCTCTGCTTGATGCCCTCAGTGGCTTCCCAGAGCTGCAGCATTTCTCCTTAAGGCTGCCCCAGCACCAGGCTGAGCAACCCGGCCCCGGCCTCTCCCATTGCCCCAGGACTCCCTCACAACAGCCTCTTTGCTGTTTCTCCAGCACTCCAAGCTCATTCCTGCCCCAGGGCCTTTGGACTTGCTGTGCCTTTTGCCTGAGATGCTCTCCCCCTGGATCTTTTTTTCTTTTTATTTTTTGTGATGAAATCTCACTCTGTCATCCAGGCTGGAATGCAGTGGGGTGATCTCGGCTCACTGCAAGCTCTGCCTCCCGGGTTCATGCCATTCTCGTGCCTCAGCCTCCTGAGTAGCTGGGACTACACTCCCGGCTAATTTTTATTTTATTTTATTTTATTTTATTTTTTTGGTATTTTTAGTAGAGACAGAGTTTCACTGTGTTAGCCAGGATGGTCTCAATCTCCTGACCTTGTGATCCGCCCGCCTTGGCCTCCCAAAGTGCTGGGATTACAGGCATGAGCCACCGCGCCCGGCCTCTTTTTTTTCTTTTTAATTTGTTTTGAGACATGATCTTCCTCTGTCACAGGCTAGAGTGCAGTGGTACACTGCAAATACAGCTCACTCCAGTCCCCACCTCCTGGGCTCAAGCGATCCCCCTCCCTTAGCCTCCTGAGTAGCTGGGACTACAGGCATATATCACCATGCTTGGCTAATTTTTAAAATTTTTGTAGAGATGGGATCTTGCCATGTTGCCCAGGCTAGTCTCGAACTCCTGGGCTCAAGCGATCCTCCCGCATTGGTCTCCCACAGTGCTGGTGCCCGGCCACCCCCTGGATCTTTACATGGCCGGCTTGTCCTCATCAAGTTTGAGCTGGAATGTTCTCTCCTGGAGAAAAGGCCCTGATCAGCCCATCAGAGAAGGCTCGCTCACCCTGTTATTCTATCACAGCATCCCATTTTATTTTATTCAGGGCAAATATCACCATCTGTTGTTTATTTATTTGTTGACTTGTTTACATCTGTTTCCCCTGCTGGAGTGAAAACATCATGTCTTGCGCACCACTGAATCCTCAGTGCTTCCAACACAGCCTGGCACGTAGTAGGTACTTAATGAGTATTTGGTGATTGAATGCAAAAATGAGGCAAGATGGCCCAGAGTTAGAGTGCCAGGAGTTTGGCCGGGTTTGCTGGGAGAGAGTTGAAGGACCTATCTCATTCTCCCCGCACAGGAACCCCATTCTTGCCTATACATAGGCTGCTCTGCCCTTGTAGATGATAGTTCTGAAGGTTGCCCAGCAGCGGGTGGAGACCAGGCTGCCAGGCTGCAAGACGTGGTGATTGTAGCAGAGGTGACTCAGTTCTGCCTGGGCCAACCTTGGGCCCCCTTCTGGGCTGATACATACTCTATCCACTGGGCCAGTGTCTGTTCTTCCTCTCGAGGGCCCCAAAATGATCTTTCCAGGGGGACCTCGTTTGTCCTGCTGCCCTTCAGTAAGGGACAATGGTTCGCATCCCCCAAGATCAGAGGCTTTGACCTGGGGGAGGGCCTCTGGTCTAAAAACAAGCCCCGTTTTGGGTAAGCTGGTGGAGGAGACAATTTCACGTGCGAGTGAATTGCCTTTCGTCTGCCTCTCTCTGATTTGTTTTTGAAAATTCATTGTATTTATTAGATATGCCATCACACAATGGTCCCTTGACATATTTCGTGCTGTAAAGAGACAGCCCCTGCCATCAAGCTGTACGCTGTAGCTGACAACACCGGGTGTCTCGTGCACCCTCACGCACACACTTCCACGTGGGCACACGCTGTTGTCAAGCACACAGACGTCACAGGCTGGTGGGAGCAGCCCTGGGGATGAAAGACCCAGGCTGGCGTTGGCTGTACCTCTCCTCCCCTTCCTGGAAAAATGATGGCAATTCTGCACTATCTATGTGAATTGGGGAAGAGGCAGCATGGACAGATAAAGTCCAGGATCCCAGTCGCCTCCCTGGCCAAACGGAAGTGGCTAACCAGCCACTGGTTTTGAGGGATGGGAGTTCAGCAAACTTTTCTTTTCCTTTCTTGTCTGCTGGGGGAGGTGCTAATGAGTAGAACAAAGCTCACAGAGGGAGGGGGAAGCAGAAAGCCTGAGCAATCCACTCCGTGAATAGTCAGCCCTGAATAATTGAGAATTGACTTGTAATTGCAATTGTCTCAGCGTGGAGATGCTGACGCTGGAAGATGAGGAACAGGCGAGAAGAATGGTGGGGTTTGGAAAGAGGGCGTTGACTCTGGATTGATTCCGGACAAAGCAACAGGGGGTCAAGGGGAAATTCTTTATCACAATTCTAAACTACAAGGGCAAATGGCTAACACCGTTGGGGGATGGTTGTAGGAGGAGGATAGAAGAGATGTAGCCAAGAAGGAGCAATATTTCTTTCCTGACAGTAAACAACTGCCAAATAAACCCCAGAAATGACACTCTGAGAGCATCTGTGGGAAGCTTAGAGAGCTGCTTGTCCGGCAAGAGGTATTCGTTTTGTTCAAGCTTCATCTGGTGTTCGCTTAAAAGAGTAGATTTCGTTTCCCCTCTTGCACCAGTCCGGAGGGGAAAATCAGCACGTAACATCTGCCTCATGTCAGCGTTTAGACGCTTATGAATAAATGAATTCTGGCAGGACTAAGCAAATAGCAAAATGCAAGACCCAGCCATGGGCTCTTTGTGGATTATCTGCTGGGGGATTGTCCAGAGGAAATGTCCCATCCCAGGGTGGAGTCCTTCCCGCCATGCAGCAAGGTCCTCAGCTTCACTCTCTGAGGTGGACTTTTCATTTTTACTTTTATTATTTTTAGAATTATTTGGTAGAGACGAGGTCTCACTATGTTGTGCAGGCTGGTCTCAGAATCCTGGGCTCAAGTGATCCTCCCACCTTGGCCTCCCAAAGTGCTGGAATTATAGGCGTGAGCCATTGTGCCCCACTGTGGCCTAACTTTTGAGCACACAGAATGTCAGATGTGAGCAAGTAATGGTTAAGGGCTGGGTCTATACAGACAGACAGATCTGAGGTTGAACTTGTCTCCTACACACAGTAGCTAAAAGGACTTGGACAGTGTCTCTATTCCTCTGAACCTCTGCTTATTCCACTGTACAATGAGGAAGATGATGATTGCAGCTGTAACTCCATGCTTATCAGTAGCCTTGAGTTCCTCTGCATTTCCCAGCATCCTTTGCACTTGGAATGGCCATGTGACTAGTCTGGCCAAAGGGATATGAGTGGAAGTGATGGACTGAGGTGGGCAAATATACTGTGTATCCTCCCTCTACTTTCTCTCCCTCATCTGTGGTGCAGCTACACCATAGAGGGAGCCTGGATCCCTGAGTCACTGCATGGATATAAGTCATTCAGGAGAAGCAGCTAAGAAAGAACCTTTAAGATTTTGAGGTGTTTGTAATAGCAGCTAGTATTAACTACCCAAACGAATACAGTAGTACTCCCTTGAGAGGTATCATGAAGAATTAGGTTAGGGAGGCAGAACTTATAAGAACTTAGCTAAGTGCCTGGCATATAGAAAATGTTCAATAAATATTAGGTATGAGTATTAATTTATTTATGCAGCAAATATTTATAGAGTTCACGTGATGGGCCAGGCATGTGGAATAACAACAGATGCATAAAATCATATTTTGGATTATGTATGAAATAGTGCACTCCATGGTAAAATAGAAAGAATTTGGTCATTCATTCCATCAGTGATTGTTATTATTATTATTGCTATTTTTGTTCTGAGACAGAGTCTTGCTCTGTTGCCCAGGCTGGAGTGCAGTGGTGCGATCTCAGCTCACTGCAACCCTTGAAGCCTTTCAGGTTCCAGTGATTCTCGTGCCTCAGCTTCCTGAGTAGCTGGCATTACAGACATGCACCACCACACACAACTGATTTTTGTATTTTTAGTAGAGATGGGGTTTCACCATGTTGGCCAGGCTGGTCTTGAACTCCTGCCCTCAAGTGATCTGCCCACCTTGGCCTCCCAAAGTGCTAGGATTACAGGTGTGAGCCACCACGTCTGGCCCAATCATTGATTATTAAATATTAAACCCTATTATGCTCCAGGCATTGTGATGAATGGTGGGGACATGTGGTTGAATATGTCTGTTTTCATTCTTAAATTGCTTGCAGGCTACTGAGAGATGTACAAGTAAATATATAATTCAAATGCCAAGTAACACGTGTCATATAGAGGGATTTTTTAAAGTGCTGGCTATGTCATTAACTCTGTTTGGGGGAAATTAGAGAGGGTTTCACGGAGGAAGGGGCTTTTGAGTTCAGCCTTGAATGTCTAAGTAGCATTTGGGCAGATGAGAAAGCATTTCAGGTGGAGGGACTGGTCCATAGTCTTGAGGTTTTTCAAAAAAATTATTTATTGATTTATTTCTTTGAAACAAGGTTTCACTCTGTTGCTCAGGCTGTAGGGCAGTGGCACGATCACAGCTTGTTGCAACCTTGAACTGGGCTCAAATGATCCTCCTGCCTCAGCCTCCCGAGTAGCTGGGACTACAGGTTCATGCCACCATGCCCAGCTAATTTTTTCATTTTTGTAGAGATGAGATCTTACTATGTTGCCCAGGCTGACCTTGAGCTCCTGGCGTCAGGCAATCCTCCTGCCTTGACCTCCAAAATGCTGGGATTACAGGCCAGAGCTACCAGGCCTGGTGAGGTCTTGTGTTTGATGAGATGTGGCAAATGCTTTGGTAGCTGGGGATATAGGGTATCTGTGCTAGGTGGAATAGTGTTGCACACTCCAAAGATGTGCACATCAGTGCTTGCTCTGGCAGCACATACACTAAAATTGGAGTGATACAGAGAAGGTTAGCATGGCCTCCGCAAGGATAACACACAAATTCATGAAGCATTCCATATTTTTCCATTATTCTAAGTGAAGTAACTCCGGAATAGAAAGCCAGACTCTGTATGTTCTTACTTATAAATGGGAGCTAAGTTATGGATATGCAAAGGCACATAGAGTGATACGTGGACACAAGAGACTCAGAAGTGGGGAGGGGCCAGGCACGATGGCTCACACCTGTAATCCCAGCACTTTGGGAGGCCGAGGTGAGTGGATTACTTGAGGTCAGGAGTTCAAAATCAGCCAGGCTAACGTGGTGAAACCCCATCTCTACTAAAAATACAAAAAGTTACGAGTGGTGGCGCATGCCTGTAATCTCAGCTACTTGGGAGGCCGAGTCAGGAGAACTGCTTGAAGCTGGGAGGTGGAGGTTACAGTGAGCCAAGAGTGCGCCACTGCACTCCAGCCTGGGCAGCAGAGTGAGACTCTATCTCAGCCAAGAGGCGCCACTGCACTCCAGCCTGGGCAGAGTGAGACTCCTCATCTCACAAAAAAAAAAAAAAAAAAAAAAAAAAAAAAAAAGAGGTGGGGAGGGTGGGAGGAAGTGAGGGATGAAAAACTACATATTGGGTATGATGGACACTGCTTGGGTAATGGGGGCACTGAAATCTGAGGTTTTACCACTACACAATTCATCCATGTAACCAAAAACCACTTGTACCCCTAAAGCATTGAAATAAAAAATACAAATAATAACAATAAAAATAAATAAAATCAACAATAGAAAACAAGCAAAGATGTCCACATCACAAACTTTGTAACCCAACCTGTGACTGTGTTAGTTTACGTGGTGCAAAGGGACTTTCACAGATGTGATTACTACATTAAGGATTTTGAGGTGGGAGCTTATCCTGGAGCATCCAAATGGGCCTGACCTCATTCCGTGAGTCCTTGAAAGTGGAGAACCGTGGTAGTGGGTGCCTGTAATCCCAGCTACTTGGAAGGCTGAGGCAGGAGAATTGCTTGAATCCAGGGGGCAGAGGTTGCAGTGAGCTGAGATTGCACCACTGCACTCCAGCCTGAGTGACAGAGCGAGACTCTGTCTCAAAAAAAAAAAAAAGGGGCAGAACACTTCCCAGCTGTAGGCAGAGGGAGAGGTGTGTCTATGAAAGAAGGGAGATTTGACATGGCTGGTTTCGAACATAGGGAGCCACGAATCAAGGCATGTGGGCATCCAGGAGAAGGTGGAAGAGGCAAGGACATGCTGTCTTCCCTGGAGCCTCCTCTCGGGGATGTGGCTGGGCCTACACCTTGATTTTAGCCTAGTGAGAACCATGGTGGACTGCTGACCTATAGAATTACAAGACAAGGCCAGGCGTGGTGGCTCACACCTGGAATCCCAGCACTTTGGGAGGCCGAGGTGGGTGGATCACCTGAAGTCAGGAGTTTGAGACCAGCCTGGCCAACATGGCGAAGGCTGTCTGTACTAAAAAATACAAAAATCGGCCAGGCATGGTGGCACATGCCTGTAATCCCAGCTAATCAGGAGGTTGAGGCAGGAGAATCAATTAAGCCTGGGAGGCAGAAGCTGCAGTGAGCCAAGATCGAGCCACTGCACAGTGAGACACTGTCTAAAAAATAAAAAAGAAAAAGAAAAAGGAAAAAGATTTATAAGATAGAGATTTTGTATTGTTTTAGCCATTATGTTTTGTTTGCGTTTATTTGTTACAGCAGCAATGGAAAATGAATAGAGCATCTGATGGAGAATATCAAGAGACCACACTAGACAAAAGGGCCAGGCAGGGATGTGTGGACTCATTCTGGTTGACCAGTGGGTCTGAAACTTCAGTGAGGTCCCCACTTTTCCATGTACTATTAATATTCTGTGTGAATACTAATTAATAATTATATTCTGAGAGAGAGAGTAGCCTTGTTCATTTTAATGGTTATGATCCTTCCATAAGTTGAATGTATGTTTCTTATTTAATTAATGGAAATTTAGGTTATTTCCAGTTCTTTGCTATTAAAAGAAGGTTGCGATGAATGATCTTGACCTTGTGTAATTTTGCACACGTGTAAGATGAGTTCCAAGAAATCGAATTATTGGGTCACAGAGAATATGCATTTTTAGGAGTCCAAATTTTTCATAAATGTCTGAGGGCACAATTCTGGTGAGAGCTAAAGGCAATTGAGGTTCCTGAGCAGAATTCAGATATGGGTTCTACAAGTATTCCTGTGGCTGATGGTGTGGAGGCCAGGAGGCCAGAGGAGAGGCTGAGGCAATGGACCTAGAGAGAAATGAGTGTGAGTGACAGAGAGAGAGAGAAACGGTGCTGTTCAGGACTGGGTGTATGGGCGAGTGTAAGTTGATTTTCTTGTGTGTGTTTTTACTTTCAAAAAAGTTGTTTTTTCTGTTTTTAGATATGGAGTCTCACTATGTTGCCGACGCTGGTCTCAAACTCCTGGGCTCAAGCAATCCTCCCACCTTGGCCTCCCACAGTGCTAGGATTACAGGTGTGAGCCACTGTGCCTGGCTGTGTGTGTGTGTGTGTGTTTTAATCAGTACAGGAACTTCTTAAGACATGAGAGGTCCTTCTTCAATGGCCCTGGGTTTGAGAGCCTACTGGGGCCAGGTGTGGTGGTGCACACCTGTAATCCTAGCTACTTGGGAGGCTGAGGTAGGAGAATTGCTTGAGGCCAGGAGTTCAAGAGCCACTGGGACTGGTGTCCCACACGACAAGTGAGGCCCACTTTGTGTTCACGTGTCAGACCTGAATTCCACTCTCCATTCTCTTCTGCCTGGCCCTTTTAACCTTGGGGGAGATAATTAACTTTGTGGTTTTGCAGGGGAGGGGGATAGAAGTGTGTCCCTGTGGTCTTTAAACAAGGTCTTTCTGGTGTTAGATTTCTTCTAATTTAAATACATGGTGACTACAGTTCTTCCTGCCTCTGACTTCCTGATTTTTGGTGCTTATATGATTTGTACAGCATCGAGGTGTACCAACTACAGTATCTCCAATTGTTTCATTTGGTTATGTATTTACATAGATTCTTCACCCACCATGGGGTTTTATTATGACTTCTCCATTCTTGGGCTTATTTTGATTCTTCCTCGGTGAGCTGTATTTCAATGTCAGCTAGTTTTTTCGAGAATGGCTCCTGGATACCATGTTCTCCGAGGGCGTTCATGTCCGAGACTGTCTGCCTGCGGCCTTTACACTTGAACGTGCAGATCATCTTTTTGCAGCCTTGCTGGGATGGTGTTCGTGAGTCTCCCCCGAGGAGAGCCCCGGGCCTGTTTCTCCTGTTCTCCTTGAGGTTGGGTTGAGACCCAGTGCTGCCTAGGATGCCTGGTGGGCCCCTGAGCTTGGGGATGCTGTAGGCGGATCATGAACAGAAAATAACATAATTTGGAGTGAGAAACTTTGGCTGCCAATTTCAGGGCAGCCGGCCAGAAGATTATCTCTCTTCCCTCATATGTTTGGGATATTTGTAACTCTAAAAATATCCATGGCAGCTGTGTACAGCTGCACAGGCTGTGCACTGCATGATTCAGGAAATGTTGTTGCTATAAACCACAACGTGAGTGGTGCTCCATTATGTGCAATGTGGTGACCCTGTGACCTCTGAGACTGGGGTGGGCCTAGAAGCAGATAATTCCTTTATCTTGGTGTTTCCAGACTTTGACTATTTTCATATCACTTTTATTAATTTATTTCTAGCCACATATTCATCTCCTACTATGATTTTTTTTTTATTGGCTTACAGTCTTCTTACAAAAATGAATGTAAAAGAGGAACTTGAGGTCAAAATTGGGAGTGGAAAGCCAGTGAAACTCTCCAAAATAGAAGAAATATATATGTGCACGTGTGTGTGTGCATGTGTGCACATGTGAGCATAAAAGAAAAATAATGCCATCAAACTCTAGCTGGATATCGTGAGCTTTTTTCTTTTTGAAACAGGAAGTATTAGGAAGTATTATCAGCAAGAGTCAGAGCAATGTTAAAGACAGGCTTGCACAAAACTGATGTTTTCTTTTGGAAGTCATCTGAAGGGTTGGAAAGGAATTAGAGGGAGAATTGTTCCCTATGACACAGCTCAGTGTAGTTTAACACCACATCCCCCCACCATTCTGAACCCTCCGAGGAACCTGAGAAAACACTGGCCCAGCCCCATCCTCCATCAGCTGCTTGAATATCTTGGCAACATCTCCCCTCGGTGGTTCAAGCCTTTCTCCTATCCTTATGTTACAGTCTTGCCAATGCACCACAAAATAGCAGTTGTAGCAGTCTCTCATGAGGTATCACCTGGAGTTTTTTTGTCTCACGACTAAGAAAAGTAAGGAGCATGGACACAAAGGATGAGGTTGGGGCAAAAGTTTAACAAGCAAAAGAAGAAAGCTCTCCTGTGCAGAGAGGGGGCCTGGAAGAAGGTTGCTGTTTATACAGTTGAATGCAAAGGCTTTTATAAGAAATGGATGAGGCCTGGGTGTCTCATTTGCATAAGGCATGAATTTCTGGTAGCTCCACCCTGTCCTCCTAGTGCACATATGAACCCTTAGCTTGAGTTACTGCATATTGCTTTGTTCCCCTTTCTGCACATGTGTCAGGGGACGGAATTTTCCACTGTGGACATGTCTGGGCAAGTCATCTGTGTGGCTGTGGGCATGTCTTAGGCAAGTCCCCATGTGCAAGTTTCCTTATCTGTGCCTGCAGGCTGTTCTTTTGCTTGAAAGAATTCAACTAAGGACCCACCCTAACTGCCTGCCTGACCAGCTTCTTCCTTTCTCCCCTCTTACTTACACCATTGGAAAGTTTCATGCTATCGCATAAGGGCTTTTTTCGAGGCTGGGCCATTTTATTATATTGGGCAAAATCCCTCTCCTTGGGCCTGTTGAGCCTGGTTCTACTGTCTGGAGTGCAGCAGAATAGATAAAATCCTTCCTACAAGTTCCATTCCTCCAAATATGATTGAAACTGGGGACTCTGGGCCAGGCGTGGTGGCTCTTGCCTGTAATCCCAGCACTTTGGGAGGCTGAGGTTGGCAGATTACCTGAGCTCAGGAGTTTGAGGCCAGCC